GCACACCTGTAAGTATACTTACATGAGAATAAAGCAGGTAAAAATATTTGGATAAATACAAAACAATACTTGTTACTTGTAAGGATTTACCTATTTTTTGTCTTCTTGAGACAGGATCTTGCTCTGCAGTTCAAGCTGGGCTTGAGCTCACTTTGTAGCCAGGCTGGCCTTGAATTTGCAATTATCCTCCTGCCTCAGCCTCCCAGGTGCTGGGATTACAGGCATGCCTCACAAAGCCTGGCTACCTCGTATTTTCTGCATGACAAATGATAAATGTCATGAGATGTATATAATATTAACTGGTAAATTTCATGTATATAAATTGCTACTTAGAGTTAAAACTTATTGCAAAGATAGAAAATCTATTCTTTTAAATCACTGAGCTATTTTCTTATGAAAGGGCTAAGGGGTGTGTTATGGACTAAATGTTTATGTCTCTTCAAAATTCCTATGTTGAAACCCAAGCCTCCAAGGTATTTGGAGTTGGGGTGACCTTTTGGAGTAATAAGGTTTACATGAAGTCATGAGAGGTCCTGTTATTTAACTCACTCACTCTGTGATAGTTTATTATGGCATCCTGTCTTAGTCTGCTCCAAATGAAAGAAGTTTTTTCTCTTTGTCTTTACCAGGCCTGTCATCTGTGTGTGGGGAAAGAGAAGGATGGGGAATGAGAATGAGTGCACATTCTCATTCTCACACAGGGAGTGTTCTAGCTCCCTGGTAAATCTTCTTAAAAGGATATTAATCCTATGGATCAGAGCTCCACTCTTACAACCTCGTTTAACCTTAATTACTTTCTTACAGGCCTGACCTCCAAGTACAAAACAGCCCTACTGAGGGGTTAAGTCCTCAACATGTGAATTTGACATATAGCCCATAACATCTGCCAATGCTGAGGGGTTAAATGTAATTTGCTACTCTTGTATTTTCTCTTGGCATTCCAGTTTTCTTAGCTCATGGGGAGAAATTAGTCTTACAGCTATATAATTCTGTAGTATAAAATTATTTGGATTGTCAACCCAATCTTCAGAGGAGAAATTTAGGATATAATACATGTTGCTGTGCTTTCTCAACAATTCCTGAAAACTCCTCAAAACAAAAAGTAATGATAACATGAAGCTTAGACTCATGATAATTTTCCAAAAATTACTAGTTCTCAGAATGCCTAAAATCATAAGCACGGATGACGGGGTGTTGTGGTGTATACCTGTAATCCCAGCACTCTGAGAGGCTAAGGAAGGAAGATTGAAAATTCAAGTTGAACTTGGGTGAATTAGTGATTTAGCAAGATCTTTTCTCAAATAAAACATAAAAAATGGGCTGAGAGGGGTAGTGCAAAAGCCTAGGTTCAATCCCACATACTCCCCCTACACATCCAAACATAGAAGAAGTCATACTTTATATTACTCTCTCACGACAGCCATTTAAGAAACGAATGTATAGCCCGGTGAGGTGGCACATGCCTGTAATCCCAGCACTTGATAGGCTGAGGCAAGAGAATCATTGTGAGTTTGGGGCCAGCCTGGGCTGCAAAGTGAGCTCAAAGCCAGCCTCAACTACATAGTGAAAACCTGTCTCAAAAAGACAAAAAAAAAAAAAAAAAAAGGAATGCACTTAAAAGGTTAAAACATTTAGACTATTCACTGCAGATATTGCTTTTCAGCAAGTCCCCACCTAACCTCTAACACAGAGATCAGTTTCTCACAAATCTACCCTTTCTACTGATGAACAATTCTGGGAATTATGTGTTTTAAATTCTATTCTTGGCAATGACATCACTTTGCCTTTCATCACTTTGCCTGTATCTTATTACATACTGTCAAAATTTTTGCACTGTCCCACTTTATAGGCAAGAAACCCAAAATGTAAAATTGGTTACTTTACTCAAAGTTACACAACAGACACTTGAACTTCTGGCATAAGGTTGTTGTTTATTATTATTTCTGTGGATCATGACACAAATGTAACAGATATAACATGTAATATATATATAAGAAAGTTGTTTAACAAATCACAACTTTCATATGCCATCATTTTTTAGGAGATGAGTCCTTATTTCTATTATTTAGGAGGTGGTATACTGGCATGGATACCTGGAAAATGAAAACTTTTTTTGTACTTCTACCTCATTTTTAACTTAAATGTTCCATTTTAATTCTAAAATTGCACTAAGATCTTGGAAGGCTGGGATAAGTATTATAAATTTAGGTCTTCCTTGGTGTTTGAACACACATATATTAAATAATTTGCCTATCTATGGAAAGTAGCATATGGATCAATGAATATAAAAGCATTTCTTTCCAAATGATTTAAACACTGATCTTACAATAAAAATATTTGTCATTTCAGTGTAGTAGTTGTATAGTAAACTTTCTATTTTTCAAAGTCAGCAGCAATAGAAAATGAACTTCTTCCTCTGTTGACTACAGTATGTCAGTTGCCATGACAACACTTAGTTCCCAAACATTCTTTCTAATTGAGACAATTTCTTCTTGTTTCAGTCCCCTAAGACTGACCCAATTACCTAACTCAAAACCCAAAACCCAAGAGGTGCCCTTTAATAAAGATATTCTGATTACAAAACCTAACGAGAATTTAAACACCACTTTTCCAAGTTGCAAAGAAACTTCTGGCACTTAATCTGTTTTTTAATACCTAAAGTCTTACAAGTTGAATGGTAATTGTCTAACTTTAAAACTATATATTCTGTACTCAATGTCCACATTATGGGGCCCTAAACTTTTAATATAAATAATTCCTGATAATACACATGCAGCATATCTCAGTTATGTCCCCTAGGCTGTATTTGCATTATATTTTTTCTAAGGTACAATTAAAATCTAGGAGCAAGTAAGATCTTGCTCAGTAAATCTATCATTGGTCAAAAATAGAACATTTGTACACTACCCAAATTTGACTTCACAGGAGGTCAGGAACTAGGAGAACTCATTAAAATCATATAAAACTTAACAAGCTATTGTAAATGTGGCACCTTAGACAGAATTCCTGATAATTCCAAGAGAAAAGATTCCAAAAAGAAAAAGCAATGTTGTGAAATGTGGTATCATTACTGTCTCAAAGTATAAGTTAATAATTATCTTTCTCAATAGTCCAAAAGATTTTACAGTTTGGATGTTTATAGAATATAAGGCTTATTAAGTTATACATTTTATTAGTTGATCACTATTTTAACTTTTATTGGTGTTGAGGATAGAGCCCTTGATGCTCAACATTGCAAGAAAACAAAAAGATTCAACTTTTTTATACATACACAAAAGCTTGAGCTTATTACATACCACACATACTAACACTGCTTACATTTCTACAACTATGTATGTAGTAGTGTTTTAAAAAATGTTTCCTATTTATAACTGGAAATTTTCTACATGTTCATTTTTTGGGGGCACTTAGATGTTAATGTCCACTATTTTATTTTTCAGTGATTTTATTTAGCCAACTAGCAAAGGAAGAAAAAAATCACATACACAGATCTAAAAGGATTAACATAAAAGACCCCAACTAATCTGATTATGTTAATAAAGATTAATTATGAGACAATGTTTGATGAGTTCAGTCAGATATAACCAAGACTACTAAAATTTTTTGTTTGTTCAACTTTGTTTGTCTCACTATGTAGTTCAGAATGGTCTTGCACTCACTATGTAGCTTAGGCTGACCTCAAACTTGCAATGATCCTCCTGGCTCAGCCTCTTCAATGCTGGGATTACAGGTGTGTGCCACCATTTTAGCTTTTGATTTCAAAACAAAAAGTTGAGACAAAAATCACAACTTTCTTTGTAGCAGACAGTTCAAGTTTGAAGAGTACTGTTAGAAATTCTAGGCTCAAACAACGAATCTTTCAATAATGACCATCAACTAACCTTAAAATATACTCTATAAACACGATAGTTTCTATATTATGAAATACTGGTATCAAGCATGAATAATAGAGAAAAGATATACCACATGTCTCAAGAAGGGTCTCAGAACTGAAGACAAAGATAGGGCTTAGAACTGTGCAAAAATGCCTTCAATTTCTTAAACCTGACACTTGGAGAATCTACATGAATAAATTCTGCTGGAAACTGGAAATCATGAGGGAAGTTTTATGATACGAAACCATTAATAACTTACTTTTAAGTATTTAGCAGTTAAAAACTTGTTGCCCTAAGCAAGATTAACTATAACACTCATTAAAAACAAACAAAACAGTCATTTTGTTTGGACGCGGAAAATAATTGATAAACCTAACAAATAGTAAGTACAAATGAAGAACTATGAAAAAGAGGAAACATTATGAAATGCATGACTAAGTGTGTTATGTGCAAGACTCAGGGAGTTTTCAAAGTTCTTTTGGTTTCTGGCTGTATATAAAAGTAAAAATAAGGTTGTTTTCATTCATATAGAATAACAAAATGCTGCCTGGTATATACCGGTTACTTTCACCTTACATTCTGAAACTGATTCAATTTTCATTTTTCCAGAGGAGGGAGAGAAAAGCTAAACAGTTCCTTAGAAGTGAGAAAATTAACCAGTGGAATATATCATGAGGTGTCAAAGAGATTTGCCCGGGAGGACAGACAAAAGAGAACCGGCCACCGAATGTAAACCGCCAAAGAGATGACAATCAATCCCATGTGTAATTTGACTAGTGAACCAAACCCCGTAGGGCGCTGCCTGCACAGTGAGGTGATCTGAGATTCAGCGCATGTTTGGTTTCTTCTCTTCCTTGAGTCCATCCTGGGGCGGGAAGTCAATACAGGTCAGGGTGTGGAGCCCATCAATTTAGACTGCGAACTCTGAAGTATCCTTTCAGCCTTTTACAGCCTCTTTCTCAGACGTCCCCCGCCCCCAAATGTCGTGCACCCGGATTTTACTCTCTTTGAGGAGACAGAAAAAGAGACAGTTGTTGCTGCGGCTCACGGGCCATAAGGAAACCGCGCGCGGGGCGCAGGACAGCTTGGGAAGGCAGAGACTACCAGCTGCAAGACTTTGGTTACCTTTTCGCGTTGGTCCCAGCTGTACTGCTTGGGTCGCTCCTCCTCGCTCTCGGGCCGCGACTCCTTCTCAGTCTTCCGCCCTTTAGAGAAAAAGCAGCCCATGATCCTAGCCTGCGGGTCTCGCCCGGCGGCACACTAGTGCAGGCACTTCCTAGAGTGTAGCGTGACCCCCTGGATACTCTGGCCCCGCAGCCCTCCGGGACACCAACCCAGTAGTCTTCCAGCCACCCGCAGCCTCTGTTAGCCAGCCAGGCCCAACACCCCCTTTTCCTCTCCCTTAGTCGCCGGGACTACCCACCGCAGCCAATGATTGTTCAGCGCCCATTGAGCCAATGAAAGCCTCGCGAGCAGTTCCGTGCGGCCTATGGACACAGTCCCACGTAGTCGCACCAATCAGAGCCTGGCTTCTGCGACAGCGGCTGTGCTGATGGGCTCTGGCGCCTGCACAGCCTACCGGGTCCCCAACTTGATCCAGTCCCGACCTCCTAGTGCCACCCCTCTCGGAACTTGGTGAGGCTCCTAGCTAGCAAGATGTTGGACTCCTTGTCACGGTCTTTTTACTCTTGCTTCTGTGGCATATTGGGTTTACTTTATGATGCAAACTATAACGAAACAGGGATTTCTGCTTTTACTCCTCTCTTCACCCTTTCTACCAGCTTTCTTAAAACTCACATATCGTTCTAAAACTGCACAGGTCTTAGTAAAATAATTGTGTATCATCTCTCTATATGAACAGAGAATCTGAGACCAAAAGGCATGTATTTTTCTAGTTCCCTAGCCTGGCCAGAGTCCTTGCTGGGCACTCAATAGTTTCAGGATTGGGATGCCTGTGGTCCCAGCTACTTGGGAGATTGCCACAGGAGGATCACTTGAGCTCAGGTGTTGGAGGCCAATGGGGGTGACATAGTGAGACCTCATAGAAATAAAGTTTGTGAAATGAATGGATGATAGACTTTTAAAAATACATACACCAAATATTAACATTACATGGGTCAAATTTTACCACAAGACACATATTGCCTATATAATAGAAAAGATAAATGGGTTTCTCTAATATAGTATTTTGACATCTCTGCTGAACATCAAATGCTTATCTGTTCAGGTTCAAATTTGGTTCTTTTGACTTTATCACACTTAGTCACATCTACTGTGTATCCTAAATGGGCTGCTGAGTTGAGCATTAAGGATGTTCCCCTTTTTGCTTCCTGTCTTTTGTTACACAATCAGGATGAAAAATACAGTGCTAAGTATTAGAAGTTACTGCAAATTTACATTTCAAGTCTTAGACAAGAGGTCTTTGCCCAGTGCACTTTTTCCATCTTCAGAGTCAGGTGAAAATTCTGTGTGAGGATGTTTTAAGGTTACACATTCAGTAGATATTTTATATTTATAAAATGTTGAAACTCTGATCATTACATAGTATAGTGAAGGAAGCAGAGATACAGAGACATAAAAGGGCTAATTTGTTTTCACAATGAGAGTGATTGAACAGGGACTAGAAAAACCTAGAACCTATATTGTCCACAAGTTTAAGTCTGCTCCTTTTTATTCACTGAAAATGCATCTGTTTTGTCATTATGGTGCTTGTGGTGACTCAACAACCAACAACACATGAACAAACAGTGCAACCAAACAAATTTTAGAGAAACAATTTCTACAACTCTCATTGTTTTGCAATATTCATCAATGAGAAACTCTAAAACAAAACCTGTAGCTAGCAACGATCTTTTCAGCAACCCTCAAATAAAAGTGAAAATCCTCTTTCTGTTAATTCCAATCCCACCATCAACTTAACATTTGTGTTAAGTTAAACACAAATTTAACTTAAGTTAAATTACAAAAATCAGGGACTATGAAGGCAATGAGTGGAGCTAGTGCTCTCTCACGTTCTTTTCCCCCTCTAGTTTACTCTTATTCTTTTCTCCCCTCTTTTCTCTTTCCCCCATGAATTCTCATCACTGTCTTCTACAAACTGTCTCTTCACTTGCTAATCAGCTTATATATGACTGATAACATGTATCCCACCTTGATTCTTCCTGGTTTTTCTGTCCAAGTGCATGCTATAGTCTTTAAATCTTAGTTCAGACTCTCAAGAGGGATGCTATGATAAATTGCTGGGAAGTCATTAATGAATTGTCTATAGATCAGTATGCACTCTCAGTCTGATTGCTGTACCAGCGTGGATGAATTCCATAATACAAACATGATTGAGAGCAGGTCCTGAAAATGATTGTGTTAGTAGCTTCAATTCTACAAAGTCCAGACACAGATTGATTATTTCTTCTGGTTGAACAATCCCTCCTGCTATTTATACTTTGTGAATTATTTTTTCTTTTTCTTTTGTTTTGTTTTTGAGGCCAGTTTAGGTTGGCCTCACAGTCCTGTTGCCTCAGGCTCCTGAGTATGAGGATTACCAACATGTTACCACTATGCCCAGCACTCTATGACTTCTTTTCTGTAGATACTGACTTTTATATTCACTTTAATATATGTATTAATGTGTGTTAAAATGTTGGGTTGTAGATTTATGCCTGATCATAAGTTGTAGAGATGGCTCTGGGTCCCTTGTTTGTTGACCACAAAAGTGATATAGTTACTGCTGCAGAGATAGTCTTGAAATGGTATATCTCTACAGCATGAATAAGTCAATTACCCCTGAAAAGTTAACTGAAACATTTCCCATCCTTGAGTTGACATGATACATTTGTGTTCACTGTGGATTCACATAAGGAAACATCAAGTGAAGAAGGAAGGAAGGGGATTAGTGTGTCAGTTATCTATTGCTGCACAACAAACCACTTGAAACATAATGGCTTAAAACAACATTTGTTTTACTCACAAATCTGCATTTTAGACAAGTTGCAGTAGCAACAACTCAATTCTGCTTCTCAGCATGTTCAAAGCCTCAGTTGGGATGACTTAAATAGTTAGGAGGGTTAACCAAGAATCATTGCACATGAAATTTCAGGGCCTCTCCACATGCTCTTCGCAGCAACATGGCTTTAGGGTAATTGATCTACATGTGGCAGCGATGGCAAAACTTTTAGAGACCAAGTGCCCAAACTGCAATTCAGAACTCATTTATTGCCAACACTGCAATTAAACCTGAGTAGCCAGTGCTCGGCTGCTGGGACAACTTGGCTCCCATGCCAACAGAGAGGGCTCTGCGTACCTGTTGCAGCAGGTGCCAGAGATTCACCACCCATGCCACATGGTATACTCAGGGTTCTAAGGGTAAGGGTTCCAAAAGATCAGGCCTCAGAAGCCACACAATATCACTTCTACTGAGTTCTTTTAGTCATCCATGGCCCATCCTGACTCACAAAGTGAGAAGACTAAGCAAGGGAAGTGAATACTGTATGGTGCAGATCTTTGAGTTGTCATCTCTGGAGCTGGCTACTATAATGAGTGTTGATGTATTACCCGTGTACCAAAGAAGAGGATTGGTAGATTTAAAAAATCCTACTGGCAGATAACTTTTTTGATACACAAAGTATTATTATTCCTAGTATATAACTCCTATGAGTTGATTGGAAACTACAATACCATAATTAAAAAAAGGGCCAAGATCATAACTAGGCAGAGGAGGGTTTACAGATAATCAACAGGCATTTGAAATGATGCTCAATCATAGCTAATCAATACAGATTACATAGCAGTTTTCAGTTTTTATCCATTGACTTACATACAAAAATATTAAATATTGATGATTTTCAGTGTTGAAAAGTGAATTGCTGTATAGTTTGAGACTCTGACATGGAAGCCTGCATTAAGACATGAAATGAGGTTGGGTGTGCTGGTACATGCCTATAATTCCAGCACTCAGGAAGCTGAGGCAGGATTTCTCTGAGTTCAAGCCCAGCCTGGGCTATATAGTGATTTCAAAGGCAGCCTGAACAACATAGTAAGTTCCTGTCTCCCAAGACCCTTGGGACTAACAGTCTTACACACACAAATAGGTAACTATTTGTCAGCTCCCAGATATAGCCAGATAAATTTTTTGAGACAATATTTCTTCTCACTTTAATTTTCAAATAGTTCTTATGAATTTTCTTTCACTACCTTATTGGTCAGATACAATGATTTTTATTTTTTTTTATTTTTTTAAATTTTATTTAAAAGGAAAAAGAGAAAAACACAGAACAAAGCAAAGTGGTGTAAGAGTACACGTAATACAGAACTACAAAAAAAAAAAAGACAGTAAGAAATCACCAGTTAATAGATTACATATTATCATCTTAGAAATAGTTGCTCAAATCACAGTATCAAAGAATACAAAGTGGACATTCAAACAGTGAGACTGCAAACAGTTGTGTTCAATGATCCAACCAAAAACATTAATATGGTCAGCTATTTAACACCCCTAAACACACTTGCTGTTGTATCCTTTAGAGCTCTTTTTTTCCCTCTCTTTTTTACAACAAAATTTACACATTTTGGGTTTTATTACTCCTTAGTTCTTATTACTTTTTTTTTGGGGGGGGAGAGAATAAAGTCGAATATGGCCAAACAAAGCTGTCAGTCAAAACCAAGGATAGACATAGCACATGATGTAAAACAGAGTACAAGGTTATCAACAATGGTTATCATAATGCCTCTTGTTTCCTTAAAAAGAATTGTCTATCTCATTAGATATTATAAAGTTGAACAAAACAGTAGAGAACAAGACCAATAAAACTTAGGCATTGTAAACATTACAGGACTTCCAAAGAGACAATAGTCAAACCAGAATGGGCATCTTAGTGATCTTATTGCCTTCAAAGTAGTTGCCTATACGCTCAAACTTGATACTATCATACAGAATGGAACAGAGTCTAATCAGTCAAAACAAGATCATGGGAGTATTACAGGACTTCAAAACAAGTTAATAGGAAATCAAAAAGAGTTACTATTTATATATCCTAATTTTTAAAATTTTTTCTTTAATTAAGACAAACATAAGAAATGACTAAATAATTTTTTTAAAAGAATAAGGGGGAGATTGAGATAAAACAGGACATAACAATATAACAATAGAGGTCAAAGCATGACTGTTTCAGCAACCTACTACTTCACCACCATATAACCCGACTTAATAGTAGTTACCATAGTGTCTGTCTTTTTCCTTGAAATATTTGGATAAAACTTCATATACTCTAGCTTCAAATATTTCCATATCAAGAAGCCCAGAATGAAGCCTTTCTAATTAATGAGTGAAACCTTTATAAGGCTTCAAGGCCACCTAATGGGGAATCATGATTATCACATATTTTTATATATTTGAATCATTACTTACATTAGGGAAACTATTCGGTA